CCCCCCTCCAGAAATGCATACTTACCTTGAGCTGCGGCCTCTGATGTTTATTGACATCCAGGGGTGCAAGTCTTCTCTGTCTCCTGCCCATTATAGACATCAATGGGGCGGTCTCCGATCATTGCTGCCCTTGGCATGCAGCCCCATGGAGGTCTAAGGTGCTGTAATGAGCAGGCATGCCCAGGATAGTGAAGACTACCACCCCTAGATGTAAATAAACACCAGGGGCTGCGGCTCGGGGTAAGTATGCGTCTCTGGAGGGGGAGAGGGTCAGTTAAATGAGTTCATGGGGCACTCTGTGTCTTTCAGTGTACTCCTCCTTTAAGGACAAGATACGTTGACGATGTGTAGATTTATCTTGCAGTCCTCCTCGTGGCCCTATCATCTGTAGAGTCCGTCCCCTCCATCTAATCACTTCATTTCCCAAATCTTCGTACCGTAACTCGTCGCCGAGATCTATCGCGCTTTACACCAGACCGGCGTTCTTGTTTTGGAAAGCTTGTCATGCGAGTCTTTTGCTCCTTTTAATTTTTTTCCTGACGTTACATAATCGTTAAGACTCCGGCAATCCATTTTTCATGCACTAATCTTCGCTTTGTCCTTTCCATGTAGAGGATTTAGAAGGAAGCACTTTGATCCCATCGGAGATGACTAATAAAGTTTTCAGACAAATGGGGTCTTTTTTTTAGGACCATCCAGGTTGGGTGCTCTTATGACATTGGCTGTGTGCTAGCAAGGGCTAACGGGAGAGGGGGGGAAGGGGAGGGGTTATTGCTGGGCGGGCTTTGTATTGTCCGTGAGCTTTGCAGAAAAGATGCCGCTTGTCTGTGGGAATCTCAGATCCCCGATGTGGTGATGGGAAGTGACAACGCCGAATAGGGACTTGATGGCAGGACAATAATTCAGTTGACGTTGGAGACTCATTTCTCCTTGTGACACCGGGGTCTAGAAGAGTGCAGGATTGGCCCGAGTGTTCTGTTAACCCCGATGCTGATACTGGATGAGACAGGGGGCTGTAGCTGGAAATCTACAAATCCCATCATGCATCTGCCTCTGGGAAATATGCCTGTGGCTGTCCAGAGTCTTGCAATGCATCATGGGACTTGTAGTTGCACCACAGCTGGAGGGCCGCAGTTTGCCTACCCCTGCTTTAGAACTCTCTCCGCTCCTGTTCTATCAATCCCAGGCAGGGGGGCAGGGATGTGACCTTTGGGTCTTATCGAGGGGGCTGTATGATTATAAGGACTGCATGGGAACAAATACCTGGCCAATAGAATAGCTCCTGTATATGTGTTTCAATGGCGGAGATCACATGTCCATTTCCGGTGGGCCGGTTGTGCCGGCTGGTAGGACGTCCTGGACTGGCATTGGGCCTGCCAAGGTGCACCGGTGTTTCTAGGTCTGAGGCACTCGGTGTCCTCGTTACATTTTGGACGGGGGTAGATCTTCTCCCGGTAGCTGCAGATCGGCGTAGGAAGCGGGGATTAGCGGTGACACGAATCCCGGATAGCCGGCATCTTCAGCAATATTCACATTCAGGCAAATCCTCCTCTCCGAGCAAAGCGAGTCCTAATTCTGACTTTGCAGCTTAGCCGCTCCGCATTATCGCATGCTTATTTAAAGGCGCGCTGATCTCTTCCATCGCACTTTATGTTCAATTCTCGGTTCTAGGAGTTGTGCCGTATGTCCTCGGGCAAGAGGAAATTGTTCTATGATGAGACAGATGTGAATCCTTTTCATCTGAGCAATAAAGTCTCACGGTTTGGAGTGATTTTTTTTTTTTTTACCATTCCAAACCCAACTGAAGTCACTCCCCTTTTTATATCTTTAGGCCCCATTCACACTTAGCGATTTATCGCGCGGTAATTCCCGCGATATCGCTCTCCAATGCTTCTCAATGGGGCAAAGGGTCCTGCGGGTCGTGCGTTGCTACAGCAGGACCCTTTTTGGAGCAGATTTAGCCGCGATTCCAGCTCGCAATATCGCGCAAAATGCAAATCGTGCGATTTGCGAATCGCGCAGTGTGAATGGGGCCTAATAGTCCTGTGCCCTCCCATCTTATGTCCTGCGACTGGTTTGTTTTCCTTAAATGGTTTAAAATTGCTTTTTGCTCTGCGTGAAAATGCTGCTTCCTGTTCTCACACTCCAGTGCTGTGTGCTGGCAGAGCTGAGTAGCAGCCACGCCTCTCAGCACAGGTGTCCTGTACTGCAAAAGATGGAAGGGGGTGTGTCTGAGGGGGGCCTGTTGCTCAGTGATGATTATTGAGTGCACTGGGTCTCACAATGTGCATTAGAAGCTGCAGCAAGTCGGATAGAACCTGACTCATTTCCTGGCTGGAGGACATCCAGCATCATCTAGCACAGGGAAGGCCCTCCAGCTGTGGTGGAACTACGAATCCCATGAGGCTTTGCAAGATTCTCACAGCACAGACATGAATCCCGGAGAGAGATGCTTCGTGGGACTTGTAGTTTCACCGCAGCTGGAGGGCCGGAGGTTTGGCTACCCCCTGATCTAGCGGTTTTCTTTCCAGCCTGACTGTCTCTGACTCCGCCTCTTTCATTCATTGGATTTCAGTTCTTTCAATCATGGAGGCTCAGCATCACATGTGGGCAATACCTGGGGCCAGTATGCATGCAAATACAGTCTACAAGACATTTTTATATTTGCATAACTCCTCCCAAGATCCAGCCCACTGTTTGCATGAGGGCTCTTGAGAGGAGCACTAAGGCAGGGTACTGTGATGTTTTCAGGAAGCTATGTACAGCCCCCTGCCTGCTCCTCTCACCAGCCATCATTGCATAGAGAAGCAATTGGTTTCCAGTTCTGCCAACCATGGATGCTCAGTATTATATGTAGGCTTTACCTGTATGCAAATGTGGTCTGCCCAGGAACCGCCCACTCCCTCCAGACTAACACCCCCCCATTAAGGGATTTTGATATTTGCAAAGATCCAGCTCACTGCTTGCATCAGGGCTGAGGGCACTTACAGAGGAGTACTGAGGCAGGGTGCTGTGATGTTTTCAGGAAGCTATGTACAGCACCCTGCCGGCCCCTCCCACCTGTCATGATTTGCCTGTGTTCTATCAAAGATTGTGACTGGGTTGGAATGTGTGACCGGTCACGTGGCCACACATTTTAACGTAGTCACGCCTATTTTCTCTGGTGTTAAAATATGTGACCGGCAAAAGGTGAAGAATTCCAACGCTTTCTCATCTGCCCTGAAATAGCCGATCTTTCCTTAAATCTCACTTCTCTCCGACTTTGTGAAATGTGAGATGGCACTCACAAAGTCGGATAGAAGTGACATTTCAGGACCGATCGGCTGTTCCAGGGCAGATCGGTTCTCCTGCAGCACATACCATCAGCAATATCGATCTGCCCTGGGACAGCTGAGAAAGCGTTGGAATTCTTCACCTTTTGCCGGTCACATATTTTAACCCCGGAAAAAGTGGGCGTGACTACGTTAAAACGTGTGACCACGTGAATGGTCACACATTCTACCGACGAAAAACTGGGCGGGATTATGTTAAAATGTCTGACCACACTGTATTCACTGTTTGATATACCGTTGAACTTGACACTGAATGTAACAGTGACGTCACTTATGACCACAACCAAAACAAATAATAAACATTTTGAACAAAAAAAAAAAAATGCGTGACCACGTCACAGGTCACGCATTCTAACGCAGTCATAAACCTTGATAGAACACCTGCATTCATTGCATAAAGAAGCATAGAGCCCGGTGATGACATCACTGCATCTGAAATTAGATATGTAACAATAGTTTTGTTTAAACATTTTGCTACAATGTTAGTTATGGGGGAACGGAGGAACCGGGGAAGGCAAACTATTCCAATTCCAGCTTTGTGGCTACAGTGTGGAAGGGAAAGAACGCATTACAGATTCCTGTGTCACCGTTTTCCTGTTGCAGAGGCATTGGTTGTGACTTGTGAGCTTCCCTCGTAGCAGAGAGCGATTGTTGAACGGTCCATTGTGTTGCTTCGTGCACTGCGCTAAATGCGATAAAATAAATATTTCAGCGCGCCAAAATAAAATCTGTTCTTTTTTTTTGTTCCCTGTTGCCCTTCACAGAGACGGATCTTAGATGGCAGTTTGGGGTTTGCGGCTGGGGTGAGTATATTTAACTCTTTATACAGCCTGTGTCATGTCTGCGTGCGAAGTGTCGGATAATGCCGCGCTTTTGTTTTTTTTGTTGTTGTTTATCCCCCGTAACACGCGAAGGATCCGAGCGCCCATTGTGCTTTCATCTTTCACCGCAGGCTCCCCGTGAGACGCGCTCTGTCAGGCATTGTTCTGTCACTCTCCCTAATATTTCATGTCATTGACTTCCCATTAACCGCCGGAATAGAAAGTCATGTTGCAGCCCTGAGATTCCGAGGAGAGGTTTTAAATGCCTCGCGACATCCTCCTCGCTCTGATTTGGGGGAAAAAATGTGATGCAAAAAATACAAATTTCCCATGTGCATCCTAAAGGGGCCAGCTACAGTTTCCCTGGAAACCTAACTGGGGGTCTGTTTATAAACACTTTGCATTGACCTACACCCTGTGAATGTCTGTGAACATTTGTTTTGTGCAAATAAGAATGTTCTTCCTTTTTTTTTGTTTTTGTTCTTTCTTTATTCTTATATTTTCTTTTCAGGTTGAATGTGTTCCGATGGGTTATACCGCCACTTGCAGGCACAGAAAAAAAAGCTTGGCTCTGGGGGTAGCTCCTGCTGGTGGCCACACCCCCATCCAAAGCAGTTTTTGCATAGCGTCAAGGAGTAAGCGCCTATCTCCTTGCTGGGGATATTTGTTCCTTTTTTTTAATCCCCAGTAGGGTATTATTTAAAAAAAATTTTTTGTTATTCAATATTTATTGTTCCCGCCCCTCGGTGGGCACTGCTTTGAGGACGTCCCATCGGTGCAGAGATCAAGATCTCATCCTGTGTCCTTTAATGAACGGAAGAGAAAATAGGATTTTTTTGCACTCACTGTAAAATCCTTTTCTCTGCGCTCATTGAAGGACACAGAACCCTCCCTTCTTTGGGTATTTTTGCACCTTAATTCTACTACTTTGTGACTAACTGAGCTGCCTTGGATGGGGGTGTGGCCACCAACAGGAGCCGCCCCCAGAGCCGAGCTTCTTTTTTTGTGCCTGCAAGTGGCGGTATAACCCATAGGTACAGAGATCAAGATCTCCGCTGTGTCCTTCCTGAACGGAAAAGAAAAATAAATTTTTTCCCCCTATTCTCATCAGCTCCATCTAGTGGCCATAATGTGGAAAGACATCAGAACACATTCAACCTGAAAAGAAAATATATTAAGAACAAAAAAAGAACAACCAAAAAAAAGAAAGAACATTCACAGCGTAAATCTGAAGCTCTATACCAATGGGTTATACTCCCAATTGCAGGAGTAGGACGCTATTGTTTATTAATAAATTGCAGATACTTGCCCTTCTATAGCCCTGGGGTATTTTTAATTTAAAGTGAACATGTTCCTATATTTCCTATGGCCACCTGTCAGATATGTGAGTACCATTACCGTGATTTCAAGAAAAGGGTGTTGAAACGGTGTAGATATCAAATACTTGCAGCTGTAGGAGAAGGACGGAAAAATATGCGGGGCAAGGGCGGAACTATCACCATAGCGGCCGCCTGTGTCGCTATGGGAGGTCAGGACAAGGAGCAAAGTGGTCCCCCTGATGCCGTGCGGGCCGCCTGGGTTCGCTATGGCATCTCAGGCTGCTGACTGTCACTGGCGGCTGTGAGGGTCCTGTCAGTGATCTTTGCAGCGGCGCTTTCCTCCTCACAGCCGCTGCTGCGTCAGTGACAGCCAGCAGCTGTGGAGCAGGAGGCTGGGCCCGGCGTTGGCAGCGGAGGAGGTGGAGCCCGGCGTCGGCAGTGGAGGAGGTGGTGTCCGGCAGCGACTGTGGAGGAGGCTGACAGCGGATTGGAGCTGACATGTAAGAGGTGTGCAGGGGTGTGACCAGCCCACCTGAGACCCTGCAGAGCCCACCATATAGATTCTATGGTGGTCTCTGCAGGGTCACTCTCAGGTGGGCTGTTTGTGAACAGGCTGCTGACTGTCACTGGCGGCTGTGAGGGTCCTGTCAGTGATCTTTGCAGCGGCGCTTTCCTCCTCACAGCCGCTGCTGCGTCAGTGACAGCCAGCAGCTGTGGAGCAGGAGGCTGGGCCCGGCGTTGGCAGCGGAGGAGGTGGAGCCCGGCGTCGGCAGTGGAGGAGGTGGTGTCCGGCAGCGACTGTGGAGGAGGCTGACAGCGGATTGGAGCTGACATGTAAGAGGTGTGCAGGGGTGTGACCAGCCCACCTGAGACCCTGCAGAGCCCACCATATAGATTCTATGGTGGTCTCTGCAGGGTCACTCTCAGGTGGGCTGTTTGTGATCTCAGGTGGGCTCTGCAAGGGGCGTAACTAGAAATCAAAGGGCTCCATACTAAATTTTGGTGATTTCCAGTTACTCCCCGGACACGGGTTGCGCCATTTAGTTCAACATTTAGTTGTTGTTCATAACCATTTACAAGCTTGTAACAGATAACTCTCCGCAGACCTGGCACTCCTCCTCCCGGTACACCAGCGTCCAATAAATTAAGGAGCTTTCTCATTAAGATGTCAGTCATTAGCGCTCTGCGCACCTGATGTACGGCGTTGACCTTTTAACCGGCTCAATATATCGCCGCCATTAAATGTCTTTACTCCTAAGGACAATTGACTTGTTCCTGAGTGCTGCTCATCCAATCACAGATATATTTGAGTCCTTCATCACCAGTGTCAGTTTATAACATAAATCCGCCAGTGATTTCATTTAGTTTATTGCCGGATGTTTTTTGTTGTTTTTTTTTTGCTTTGGCTTAATCGTCTTGCTTTGTAAAGCAAGCTGCAAGGAAGGATGACAACCCTCAGGGTGGACCGAAATTCAAAAAGTGACACTTTATGTGGAACATCCAGTGATTGTGCCTCAGCAGTACCCTAAAATAATCTACTTTTTGTCCTGAAAAATAGCAGTGCACTTGCCGGTGCCTTGAGGCTCGTAGATGTAGCTCGCAGCGTGAGGCCTAAGGCACTGTCGCCTGGGACTCCTAGTCTCAGGAGATTTGATGATGTCACTACTGTGCTGCTCACTGTTCTCCTTACTGGAGAGGAAGTTGTACCTGAGGAACTGTAATGCAAGGATCTCCCTGCTCCTGCTTTATCCATTCTGTACATCTCCCTCCATCGCTCCTGCTTCTTGATCATTACCCCACCCAGTCATCGGAGAGAGAGAGATATGGGGGGGGGGGAGAGAGGGAGGGAGTGAGAGAGGGAGGTGAGAGAGAGAATATTGGGAATCTGTGTAAGAGCAGCCGTCTGGAACTCCTCCGAAACCTGGAAGCTTAATTAAAGGCTGCAGCATTATTAAATGATAAATGATACATATAAGTTACATTGTCTCCATCCTGACTGCATTCCAGTAATAAACGTTAAAGAGGAACTTTACCCCGATCTTTAAAATAATAACAACGACACCTTTAGAAATGTTTAGTGATGACAATCTACACGGCTGCCTCCGCCCAGTTGCAATGACAGATCAACGTCCCCAAATGACAATAACAACTGGGCGGAGCCGGCCATGACGCCAGTTGTTGTTCATGGGCCGGGAGGAGAAGACTCTAGCAGGTCCCGGCCAATAGCAAACAGTTGGGTGGAGCTAGCTGTCACTGCCAGCTCCGAAGAATTGTTTTTCTTTAAAATATCTTTTATTTTCTTACAAGGGCGAACGGTAGCGAGTGAGCTCCCGGAGCTTCGGCTCATCCGATCCAGATGTTCATCGGCTGAGTTGAAGTCCTTCTGCACTTCGGCTCAGCCGAACATACAGAGCATGTTCGGCTGACCGAAGGCAACCGATGTAAGGCTGATTTTAGCCGATGTACGGCTGGAATCAGCCGCACTGAGCCGGAGTGAATAGCTGAACAGCGTTCGGCTCACTTCACTTTGGCTGGGTTACTCACTCGGCTGCCTTCGGCAGCTGTGTGAATAACCCCCCTATATGTAGTTTGTATGTCTTTGTGTGGGTTTCCTCCGGGGATCTGTTTTCCTCCCACACTCCAAAGACATGCTGCAAGGTTAAAGGAGAACTATGAGGTGAGTGCTTTTCACTCACCTCATAGTTCTAGCCGACCTGTGACAATGAGACTGTCACAGGTCGGCTCAGTAGATCGGGAGGTGAGGGAACACATACCGGCGTTCGCTCACCTCTCGATCCTGTCACAGCTCTCTGCCGTGACAGGGGAGGGGATGGATTCCCCCCTCCCCGCTCCGATCCTCCAGCGCTGACTGGCGGAACGGACGGGGGAGGGGGCGGGTACAGCTGGCTCTGCCTCTAGATAGGCAGAGCCAGCTGTCACTCACGCAGCTGGGCGGATCCCGGCATCATTGTCGGGATCCGCTTCAGTTGCCGCATCTCAGTATACCGCGAGCTACAGCTCCCTATATGCTGAGCTTAGGGTGACGGGAGGACGCTAGTTTGTGTCCTCCCGTTACCCTTAGGAGAACTGTGGGGAAAAGCCTTAACCCCATAGTTCTCCTTTAATTGGCTCCTGTATATATGCATGTGAGATAGGGAACCTTAGATTGTAAGGACAGGGAGTGATGTGAATGTAAAGCGCTGTGTATATCGTCGGCGCTATATAAATACCTATAATAAATAAATATTAAACTGTGTATAATCTATTTTACACTCCCTTACCCCACCCTCCCGTCTCATTAGCTTAGAGGTCAGGCACTGCAAGCCTGATTTCAGCCATGAGGCGGCAGAACGTATACAGAATGTAATGCGGACACGAGGATTTTCTTTTAAGTTATATTTATGTATATTTTTATATAGAGATCGAGGGGAAAAGGGAGATGAGCGGTGAAATCTGCTTCATGTTTTTTATTTCTTTTTCCCGTAAGCCAGAAAAACAGATCATATATTACCGCGGTTCCATACTGCGGCAGCTTGCGCTTCCATCTGTAATGTTAATTAGGAATTTATTTAAATGGTCTTGTTAGGATTTTAGATCAAATCCATTTCACTTTAACATTTTTTTACTATTCCGTGCCAGATACAATGATGCTTTTATTTTTAT